CCATTTATTATTAAGTCCTCCATTCTTGTAAATTGTTCCAGATCATCAATCCTTCTCTCCAATCCATCAATTTTCTTGTCCTTCTCTTTAACAAGGTTCTTCAATTGTTTAACTTCGTCCATCAGATCAAGTAGCATAGCTTGTTGTTTAACAACTTTGCTCAACTCATCCGACATGAAGTTTAAAGATTTTCGAATCTCCTCCAACTCCTCCTCCACCGCGTTGCTGACTTTCTTCGGTGGCATTTTGATTGTTTTGTTGTCTTATTCTCAAATACTTTAACAGTATCACTTTAGTTTAGCTTAATTATTGTCACTTTGTTACTTCTGAAGTAACTGCACATCACAGGGTGCTGCCATCTTGAACAGTTATGTGACTGTGGTTACATGACTTTTATCGTGTAGCCAATAAAATTCCGAAAATAACGATATCCAGCTTAAAGTAGGAAGTTCATGATCTACCAGCAAAAAAACACATCTGCATCGATATTCCGGCTAATATGAAGTGATGCAGCAGCAGACGCCTGCCGCCAAGGGGCGGTGCTGTTTTACAAAAAATATGCCATTTTTCATGGTATTGGTATGACATTTAAACTAGGACTAGGTAAGGCTTAATCCTGTTGCCCTACAGTGTTTTCCAGCTAATAAGTCCCAGCTATAGTTGTCTGCATGCATTTGTTAGCAAACATTTTCAAGAGGAAATGAAAAATATATTAGTTTTAGTGTGTTTAAACTTATATTAATCAATTCCAGTAGCACTTACAATCGTTCTGAGTTTTGGGTTAGACACTAACCCATCTTTCAGAGAAGCCCAAAACCAGGCATATACTCCAAATGGTTTAAAAACTACATTCAATTTACTTTGGATATGCCTTGAATAGGCGTTTTGCATGAATTTTACAGGAATAAGCTCGTAGAACTCTCTATGCAATTAAACAGAAATTCTATAAGTATCCCAATGAAAATCTGGTGTAAAATATTTGACAGTGTTATTAAGCTGATTGAGGTCCACTTGGTCATCAGAACTACAACAGATGGGGGAAGCATCCCATTGAGACCATACGTGCAGAATTCTGCAGAAACATCCTGAACATTCAAAGAAAGTCTCCTACAAATGCGTGCAGGGCAGAATTAGGCTGATTTCCACTGATAATAGATCCCCCAAACAGAGCACTAAACTTTCTGTTGCACCTCAGTCCCCAAGACCCTCAAATTCAAGGCTCTTAAAACCCAAGAGCTGAACCTGGAAAAGTGTCCCTTATGCCAGCTAGTCCTGAGACTGACAAATCCCGCGACATGTCACACACAGACTTTTCTCAAGCCAGCACTGCTTTACAAACACCAATTAGAGTAAACCAAATGATCACTCAAAGCAAAAATACTTATTTGGGACATTGGGAGGAAGAAACAAAAAACTACACCCTTGCAACTGAAAAAGGGAGACCTAAAAAGTCCTGGTTACCATAAGAAAATAGTCTGTGAGCATTGTGAGGTGTAGACAGAGACACATTTTCTCCTGAAATGTGATAAATATAGAAGCATAAGAGAGCAATATTTTGAGAAATTTCATTTTTTAATACCAGATTTCAAAGAACTTGAAGATAACAATAAATTACAATAAAGTGCATTGAAATGAACTAAACTAAGAGAAAAAAATGTGCTTTATTTCAATAGATGGCATTCTGTAAGTACTTTCATCCTTTAAGTGTGATTTCTTTTTCTTTTCTCTTTTTCTCATTAATTAATACATTTTAATTAATAAGAATTAATTAAAAATATAGATTTTTATAGATTTTTAAGTTGTTGTTATTGGAATGCCAAACACAATGCAAACCTGCATGTCCAATTATCCAGTTATATTACTCCACACCCTCTCTCCATTATTATTATTCCAAGTGTCACAGCGTGCTGTAATAAACACAAAGGCCGCCTGTTTATGTTACGCACTGGCAGACACGCATTTCTTTTCCAAATACTGTGTAAACAGCTTGACTTAGATGTAACGTGGGTCATAAGGGTTGTTGTTGTTAAATGGTTCCATATGGGATGGCGTCATGCTGGGAAACAGAACTGAACATAGGTCCTTAATGGAAAATGGATAATTGAAAAAGTGAGACTGTTTGCGAGTTAGTCTATCACCCAAAAGAGGAGGGGTTCAATTTCACAGTAGGGGTGTTAGTGTATGTGTCGTTGCTCTGTTACGTTAGTCATTGAGATGACCTTGAGAATGACGACATTTTGCAGAAGGACCTGGTTCTTGTTCGCCTCGTCACGCTCCTGGTGTTTTAACTACCTCATAAAAACGCGACACTCTCATTGGAATGAACTGAAAAAAGACGCTGGTGTCAGGGCTGATCTTGCTGGAAGATTGGCTGGTTTGCTGTTTGTAGGTTTCTTTTGTCAGCTGGTGTTGCGGGGAAGCCGACGCAGGATCCATGCACCGTGGTTGGCTAACCTTACCTGGCTTGCTCGCTAGCAAAATACTATCTCAGTATCTGAATAATCAAAGTTGGACGACGCATCTCTCGCTCTCTCAAGCTGGGTTAGTGTAGCTCTCATCCCGGCCCTCTTCCTGAGGCATTCACACTTATTAATCACACATGAGTGTATATTGAGCTTCAGTTTGGAAAACAATATCTTTAGGATGTTGATTTCAAATAATTAAGCTTAACAGCAGAACTGAGAAACTAGCCATTACAAATAGTTTTAGTTACACAGTATATGATCTTGTATAGTCACTAAAATGTTACAGATTATTAATGTAACTTTTAACATGCAAATTGGCAATTGTTGTGTTACTAACAATTTAAAAAGCAAGTTAGCAAGGTTAACAAGGTTAATGTTATACAAGTGTTCCATTTGTTCCAATTAGGTGTGTTCAAATCAAGCATATCGTTAGTTCAGGCAAGCAACGAAGTCAAGCTCAGCTCACAATCCCAGCATATCAGCTGATAGCAGCCATCTTAAGCAAGCCACATCAGCTGACAGCTCAACTGATTAATCTCCTAGCATTAATTGGCAAATTCCTTTCAGATCCCTTTTCTGACAGGGTGTCACACTGTGGGCGTGTCTGTTCTGTTTTGGTCAGTTGGTTGTTTTCAGTCAGTCATGTTATTTATAGTCTGTTTAGTATCTGTCTTATTGCGTTGGGTTCTGTCCTGTGTCCAGTATCAGTTATAGTGTATAGTTGTTGTGTTTTGAGTTTCTCTGAGTTATTGTTTTGTCTGTTCAGTATCTGCTATTTAGTCGGTTTTGGTTCCATGTCTTTGTTCCCAGTCCTGTCCCTTAGTTCATGTCGTAGTATTTGCTTCTAGTTCTTTCTCTGCATCATTTTGGTTTAGCCTGCTCAGTACTCTGTGTTCTAGTTCTGTGTTCTCTTTTAGGTTTTGTCTGTTATGATCCCTGTGTTATAGTTGGTCGGTGTTTGTCTGTTTACGTGGGTTCCTGTTATTGTCTTAGTTTCTTATCTGGGATTTTGTTACATGTGTTCTGTCTGTGTTGGTTATTTTGACCCATGTCTCCATGTCAAGTGTTCCGTCTGTTCCCTCCAGTATTCCTCTGCCTGCTTGTCGGTTTCCTGTTGGATTCTTGTCTTATGTCCTTGGTCTTTTGTACCCTGTATATCTGTTTATGTTTTCATATTTCTGTTGGTATTTGTCTGCGGGCTTGTTGGTAGCTCTGTTAGTTTGGGCCTGTTTGGTATCTGTCTGTGTTCCTGTCAGTTCACCACCCTGCCCGTCTGCGTCTGTCTGCTGTCATTATTAGTACCACCTGTCCCGCCCTCCTCGTTAGCCAGTGTTTAAATGTGTGTGACTTCTGTTTAGCTGTTGTTGGTTTGTTGTGTGTTCATCCACTGCCGTGTGTCTTGCTTGCTTGCCTGCCTCTGCTACCAAGTTTGTTGGATTATCCTTTGTTCTGTCTTCCCCTGGATCATTTGTTTATGACTGTGTTTTTGCTGCTCTGCGGACAACCTTTGTTTGGACTCTGCTGTAAGTTCTGTGGGCTTAAATAAATACCCAGAAACTGTACCTACTCTGCCTCTGTGTCCTGCGTTTGGGCCTAAAACCTGTTCCTGCCAGCACACATGACAAATTGTGACACAGGGTTGCTCAATAATTATTGATCCGATGGGGCATATTTCATAATCGGAAATGGATTTTGGCAGAGAATTTAGCCGATAAAAATGCTAACATGCACTGCTGCTGTTGTTGCACTCTGGGCATCATAGAGCCACACAGACGCAGTGCAGGCAGTTAGAGCCAAACAAAATGGTTTTGGATATTTTTCACTGTTTCAGAAGGAGACAGCGCATTGCATATGGCATCAGTTCTTCCTCCTGTCCTCCTTCCCTCTGTCTCTGCTGTGATCACTGCAGGTAACCACGTGCCAGTTTGAAGCTACATGGCAATAGAAGCTAAACAGTTAAATTCCAGACAGCTTTCATGTAACTGGTTGAACATCTAGCTATTGCCAAGCTAGATTTAGCAAGGTGTGTGGATGAGAGATGTGGACAAATAACTTCTACATGTTGTGCTTTTTAAACAGATGTATCGATAAGAATTGTCTTTTACTCGGAAGGTTCTATTGCACGTACTACAGTAACGAGGGTAGCTGTCGCCAACTCGAGTAATTACCTTCACCTCGCCGTCTCCAACGCAGCCTATCTCTGCGCTGGCCGCTGTGTGTGGGTGCACGTCCACGTGTGTTTGCGTGCAGAGGCCGCAGCTTGATAATTAACTGTATGGTCTTCCGCTCAGGGCCTGTTTAACACAACGTTTCAGTGCTATCTGTATCTGATTGTTATGTAAATTCAGCATGTCTGCGCTGTTCTATACAGGGTATAACTTCTTCAAGTGGAAATTTGATGTTTTAAGACTTTTAAAGTTATGGTTATGGCTACGGGTTAAGACTATCTGTATAATTTTAGTGAAGGCCCTCACAAGTATAGACATGTATGTGTGTGTGTGTGTGTGTGTGTGTGTGAGACTTTGTCTTCCTCACCCAGCAGCGGAGGCAGCCAGTTGAAGTTGGCCTCACAATGGGAATCCAGGAATGTGATAACTTCTCCTTTAGCAGTGGCGGCTCCAAGCAGGCGAGTCCTGATCAGCCCCTCCCTCTTCTTGGTCCTCAGGATACGAACCTTTGGCATCCGAATCATATACTCCTCCAGTGGCACCTTTAGGTGCTCTGCACAGAGGGTCATGGAGGAAGGAGGAGATACAGGAATAGAGTGAGATCATCGATCCCATATTCAGTGCTGTCAAGAGTTATTTTGTTAAGTGGTCATTTGCATTGTCCATTTACTTCAGCAACAACCAACAGAGAAGGGACCTTCAGGCACATGGAGATGAACATGGCCAGTTTGTCTGAATTTAATTTTTCTCCAATAAGAAACCCAAAAAAAGCAGTTTTCAAAACTAAACACCTGAGAGTCTCATCTTCATTGATATTTTAATACTCCAAAATCACCACTAGATGCAACTGATTGTATTCAGTTGCATAGTTTTGCTATTTTACTTTCATAAAATCACTACTTTTGTAGTTTAGAGGATTTGTGAGGCATACAGTATGTTCACCCACTATAACTTGCAATCTCCTTGATCTTGGAGTGAGAGCATACTAACTGTTTTCATGTTTCATGAGGACCAACAGCAAAAGATATTTTATTTGCAAGACACTGACACATTTTGAATAGATCAAACTAGTTTTCTGCAACTACATTTTATGATAGCAGTGTGGACATTTAGGACAAATAGAATAGCCCAGTGAGAGACTGGCTGCCTGTCCAAGGTGTACCATGCCTCTACAATTGCATATTCTCTTGAGGTCTAATAACCAGCTAATTGTCCATTATCTTGCAACATATGTGAACTTTTTTTCCTGAAAAATTACCAGTTCTTGCAGAGTAAGTTTAACAGTCTTAAATTATCATAGTGAACCTGTCATCCCCAACCAATGCTGCAGGCCTCCTTCTAGCCAAACTGTAACAAGTAAACAAAAGTTCTAGCACATTATAACCCAAAGCAGCAGTGTCAGGTGGATGGACAGTTCATTTTGTAGGACAACCCTGGGCCCTTTGACTGCCACTGTAATCAAATCACATCCATCACTGCAATCAAGTAAAGCACAGCTACCATTAGTCGTAGGCAGGTTGATTTAATGGTCTCTCTGAGGAGGAAAGGCTGTTTTTGTTATGTGATTTAGATGACCCTGAAGACATTTCCATTTGATGTTTTATTGCTCTTTATATGATGATTATTAAAATATCCTTCATCCATCCTGACTTTTGCTTGGATGATCATAAACTCCCTAGTTTAATTGCGGCAGATTTTAGTAGAACTTGGTAGAAGAGATATTGTTCTCTGTTTGCAGATATAAAGCTTTATGTAATGTATGTTATTTTCTGATAATGGTTGTTTCTCCACTGCAATTTATTTGGTAAGTTTGCACATGAAGGTTTCCACAGTATCTAAACTCAATATCCTTATTCTAAACCTACCGTGTCCCAATAATGAAGGATGTTGCAGCCTCCACATGTGTTTTTTTGGAGGATGTAGAATTTTATACTAAAAACTCATCCTTGCGGATAAGAGTGCGAGACCTGAGTGCTCTCAGTGGTTTGAAAAGAAATCAATCCTGAAGCAGTAAAAAGATGAAATATAACTTTGACAGCTTCTTTACAAAAAAACATAATACTGCCTGTTGATGGGAGCAGAGAGAGAGAGACTATGAGAACTTGAAAAGTTGACCTTTTAACTTCATCTACTGGAAACTTTTACTTTCATGCCAACTGCAGAGCTGAGGTTGACAGAGACTAAGAGAAACGGATAAAGCAAGTGCTCTGAAAGGCTGCCTTTTCAATATATATGCAGATGACCTGCAGCAGGAAAAATAATTGTTTGTTTTTTCTATGATATTGTGAGGGAGGGAGAGTATAAAGAATGGCTGAACAACGTTAAAAATGACAGGGAAGAGACAGAGATGAAAAGTGCAAACTGAAAAATGAATATTCTCTAAACTCCACAGAGCCAGGCCTTTTTGTTTCCATCCTTCCATCCATCCTATTATCCTTACTCCCCATCTGTCCTCTCTGTTTATTCTTTATGTCTTCACCCATTATGAATTAAACTGTACTTCTTGTCACAGAGAAACATAAAACACCTACAACAGCAAGAGAAAGGATGTGACAAGAATGATGAACTTTTCTCTCTGTTACAATTACTGCTTGTAAGTGATGACATGTATGCATGCTTTATTTTGCTATTGATGTGCTTTTCTCTTAGGTGCTAATTTGTCTTTTTTAATTTGCCTCAACATTTTAGGGTAGCTCAGTAGTAGTTGTAGTAGTACTGGTTTGAACATCTATAGTCCTTTTCCACCGGTCTTTCCATCCATCCATCTTATACCCACATACAGGACACAGGGTTTGGATTCCCTTACTACAGCAATACCATATATATATATATATATATATATATATATATATATATATATATACACACACACACACAACAATTCATACTCATATTCAGACTCATGGGCAATTTATTTATTTGATAGCCTGATCAATACAATAGCAGTAATCGACTGGACTTTTGTGGTGAAGAATTGAACAACTAAAACTAATGTGTCAAACCTAGCTAAGCTACGAAGATTTTCTGTTTGCACTGTAACCATGGATGCACAGACAGCTACCAACTGGATAACTTTCGATGCTAAAGAAAAAGTCAAACAGATTCCTGACAGACATCAAAGACGCACTGCTTGCTCTATAAAAATGTAAAAACGTAACACTGATCACAGCACTGTCTGTATGACATTTGTGTTCTAGTTTGATTCCTTGAGTTATGGCTCAAAAAGAGGTGTGATGTTGAAGCAGAAGAGATACATACACTCACTCAGTTCAGATGCTACACCTATTTGTAATCACAGGGTCCACTGTGCTGCATGAAGACAGAGGTGTTTGACACTGAAACAAGGCTTCAATACAGTGATCGGTTCTACAAATAACTCTCACCTCATCCTGATCCCTTCAAGCTGAGTGTTTGTGATGCTGTTGAAAGCCATCACTCTTTTTTTTAATCCGCTACCGTCTCCTTCTATATCACCCCATCACACAAAATCCCAAATCTAATCCCTCCATCTCCAATTTTCAGACTTGTATGTCTGAAAATGTGACATCTTTGTCTCTCTTTCCAGATTCTGTCCGACTCCAGTGAAGGTCAGCCATCTTTATTTTCACTTCCTGTGTTTATTGTGTTGCACAGCAGCTGACCTACACGCTGTAAAGAGTGACATTGCAATAAGGGCAGAAGGGCTCTGTAAGGTCTGCGTCAAACTGTGAGGAAAAGGCGAGCTGTCCTCCCTGCTCCTGCAATAAATCAACCCATTAAAACTGACCATTACGAGCATGGCTCTGGCTCTTTATAAACACTCACCCTACACCCAGTGACGCTTACATCATCCTGCTAACGACAGGAAGCAAGACAAAATTAATCAACGGACATTCGCCCCGTGTGCAAAGTGAACTTGTATGGGATAAGGTGAGGGAGAAAAATCAGAGTATTTAATTATGATTGGTTAATTTTCACTGAATAAATTGGAATACAGCTCATACTGTTTACTGAAAGCAAGGATGCAATTAATCACGCTAATGAGAGCGAACTGATGTCGGAAAACACATTAGTCTTTATTAGAATGTGAAGCGGATTTGATTGCAGGGCTGAGGTGTCGTGGATGTTGGGGTCATTTCACAGTGTGGAGCAGAGGGATGAATCAAACCAGGCTGGTGATAAATATCCAGACCATTTATTCAGCACAGACTAGAATCCTCCTGAACTCCCACTATACCATCCATCCCTTTCTATTTTTCTACCTCCCTGCAGTCCGTCACTCTTATTTCTCCTGTGGATGGTGCTGGAACAGCCAGGCCTTCTTTCATCTGCTCACGTGGGGGCGTACTCAAACATGAATTAACAGCTAGCATATGAAAGACTCAGCAGTTGGCCTCAGGCTCTTTTCAAAGTGTGTGCATTTAAAATGTCATCGATAAAATGTACATACATTTGTAGCTTATGCTTGTATTACTTTGATGCATGTCCCATGAACTGAAATCACACCTGTTGACGGAATTGTTAGTCAGTGCAGGTCTTTCACTGCATCACAAGCACCTTAACTGCAACATGTCCCTCTTAGCATTGGCATTTTAAGCAAAAATAGCATTTGAGAGTCACTTTGAAATATTAGGCTATTCTTTGAGGAAAATGTGTTTTTAAGACAACACAATATAATTCTACGACTATTAGAAAATTAATAAATGGTGACCTAACCCTATTTAGCATGTCAATTATACTGGTGTGGATGTGTAGTGTATCTTTCTTTATGTAAATTCTTTTTTTAAATCAGTCCATTTGTTTCCAATATAGCATAAATGTGTTTATTTGTTGATGAAGTATGACTTATGGTATGCAGATGCAAAAAAAATGCAATTCCAAGACTAAATACTCAATGTAGCCATATGTCATACTGAGGTATTTAGACCTATATCTAGAATTGATTCACTTAAACCACTGCAACACAGCTACCCTTCTGGAAATTACAAGTCCTCATACCTAATTTACTCATAAGAGTTACTATATGCAGCTTAAACAAATGTTTAACTAATTTATCAAATGTGTTGAATAAATAAATTCTTTTTAATTTATATCATCTCTTTTAAGTACTAACACTTAACAACTAAATCTATTTTTGTAACAACAAAATCTATTTTTTGGTGTCTTTACATTTAATAAATGTGTTAAACCATGCTGACTATTGTCAAATGTGATATAAGCTGATTTTCTGTCTGAAGTTGTCTTTCTGCGTGATATGAACACAAACTCACACACAATAAAATATGTGCACATATACACACACACACACGTTTCCACCACAGATACCACCAGCAACATCTTCCCTAATGCATTTTTTAAAATTCAATTAGCGTTGAGACACAGTGGATCCAACATGGCACGCTGAGCTCTGTTGCCAGGGTGGTGGATTAATCCCAAGATGCACTGGCACACCACCAAAGACTGGAGCTGCTCGTTTCTTCCATCAGCAAAATATTCCAATGCCCTTGTGAACTCCATCACACTTTGTCAGTTTTCTTCCTGTGCCAGATTGAATTTTTCTGCTATCATTAAAAA